CTCAAGTCCTTGCTAATCATTTAATACACAACAAAATTCACCACAATGCGACAAGGAACATTCCAAAAATAAAACCTACAATTTTGAATTCTGTGATCATCATTCATTTCAGTAGACAAGGTCAGAACCACTCTTTTATTTTGAAAAAGAAATGTTTTAAGTCACTTGTACCCTTGCCTTAAAACACAATCACTTCCAATATCATTTATTTTTCAATAGCTTCGTTTTTTTTATAAATTAAAATGGTATATTATGCATGCAATACCTCATTAGCTGCTTAGGTTTTCATCTTCCACAGAAAAAAACAAACACAAAAAAAGACAAAATCCCTTAAAAGTCCAGAAAAGGGTGGGTTGGAGAAGCCAGAGCATGAAGCGATGTACAGTTTGCAGGTTGCATAGTACAGTACATGTAGTTCCTCATTTTAAAACAGCATGCCGTTTGTATTGCACATTACTGAAACTTTGTATACTGGACCTTGCTGTTGTTCCAAGTGTCCCGCATGGGTGTCGTCTCATTTCAGCACAAGTATACAGCAAATAGCATCTCTCAAAGACATTATGTACATTTATTTGTTATAAAAATAATTATACCAGCAAATATTCATCTAGTACTTGAATAAGTGTTTTGTTTCTTTAGTTTTTTTTTTCTTCTTCACATTTTACCAAAAGAAAATCCTCCCTTTAAGTTTTGTATTTGGTGGTCACCTTGAGATTTAGTCCGTGAAAAATACAATTGGTGATTTTTGTCTGTTTTTTTGAGACAAACGTTTAGCCAGAAGTGAAAGGCATGTAAAAGAAGGCTAGGATGGAGAGTTTTTTTTTTTTTTTTGAGGTGAGTGTGGTGTTGTTTTTTGTTCTGATCTACCACCACAACTCAAAATTGGGCAAACGTCTGTTGTCATTTCGCGTCGGGCGTTCACAAAGAGAAGGTCGGTGGGATGCTGGTCTGGAAATCCCTTCTGATTGTCTCAAGCAGCCCAGCTCGATATTGGTTGGCTTTATTTTGAATGGAAAACGGCTCCCTGTTCAAACAACCAATGGGTTTTTAATGCCATGGGGCAGAATGAGACAAAAAAGCATGTCTGTAAACACTACGCACCTTCCTTTCCATCTTATACCAGATTCACAGGAACAGCTGCTTAAAACCCACCTTTTTTTGCTGACTCTTTTGTGCTATGCAACTTTTTGAAAATGATTTTCTCCACATCTATACAAAGTGTCCAACCAGAGAATATAATGCCTAATTTCAAGTTTAAAACAATAAATCACAAGCTGTATTTGTATTTCATGTCAGGCTTTAAATTGTAGTGGGTGACTTGAGGAGTAGCCCTTAGCCACTTGTTCTAATCAGGTCTTGAAAAGCAGGTCAAGACACCTTAAAACTGTGTCAGGCTGTAAAACTATTGGGGACAGTCAAATATCCTAAAACCCTAAATATAGGACAGACTTTTTATCTACGTTCTAACATCCTGACAAACAACATCTGACACCAAACTGATATTGGAGTGAAAAGTGCAACAGACTTCAACCTCATGAGTCATATTGTGAGATACATATTGTGTTTCTATTCATTTATAAGGGAACATTTGACTTGAATTTAAAGAGAAGGGATCACCATAAAAAGCATCAGCTCTGAACTTATATTCTTCTTTTCTTTCAGTCTTAAAAAGAGAGAAATATAAGAAAATATTGATGTTTCAGAAAGCACAAAACTTTAAGTAAAGTTTGAGGGAATGGATCCTCAACGTATCAATAATGTACGTTATGTTTTTGTCAGAGGGGAAGACATCGAAAGGTTCAAATTGGATTTTTTTCTGTTTCCTACCATATGGTTTAATATTTCTCCGGCAGTGTGTCCGACTTGAATAGTCAGAATGTAAAGGAAAAAACTTGACTTCATTTAAAAAAATACAAGAATCTTTAGAAGGAATACATTTATGGCCAAAAACCTTAAAAATCTGATGTAAGAAAAATGTTTTAACTTATTTCTAGTTTTAACTGTTTAGTGTATTTAATTTTGAAAAATGTACCTTCACTCCTCAGTTATTTTGCTTTTGGCATTGCACTGGTTCAACGTAGAAAATCAAACTGATCTAAGCATAAGATTCAGCAAATGTGTGTTGTAAAACATCACAAAACACATAAAAAACACACTGTTTGGGAAATACATGAAATAAATAACACGTCCCGAGAGCAGCCACAATTTTGTCAGTCTCATTATCTTGCTATCTTCCATCTACAAACTGTAAATTACGTTCTAAAGGTTCTCGTATTTACTACACGAGATAACGACTTAATTATCTTGTAGTTTCAAGATAACAAATTGAATCTTTTAGTTAAATTTAATCTTATTTTTAGCAAAAAGTATTAATTTAAAGGCAGTTTTCAGATTTAAAAGTGGCCACTACTGTTATCTAAAAAAAAGACAATTAAACCATAATCTTGATTATTTGAAAGAATATTTTTACACTGTATTATGATAACAAGCCTTAAAACCCTTATTAGCAAACTCTGCTTTCACATGAAGCACTGTGGTTGTGAGGTAAACGATCATCAGCTCAACTCAAGTGTTTTGTTTTATTGTTTGTTTCAGTGCACTTTTCACCATATAACAAAATTCTGAATTATTAGAAACTATTTTCATGTGACGTCTCCCTCATATGAGTCATGCAATCCACTGAAACATTCATGAATGACAAAAACCAACACGTTAAAAGTTTTCGGTGTACCATTTCATTTCAGAATATTTAGTAACAAACCTCAGGGTTCCAGAGATATCATTCATCTTTAAAATTTGGGCCTCATTTTTATGTTTTTTTTTTCTTTCTTCTTTATTTTTTTCTCGGAGAAAGGCGCCCTAAACGTCTACAAACATCAACTTGGTTACAGGAGGGTTCTATTTTTTTACGTTTGGAGGGAGCATGCTCTGCAGTCAGGACAACATGCCAGCTACACAGAGGATGAACATGATGCAACCGACCCTGCCACGTATTATTAACCAATCGCTTGCGACAGACTCTGTGAGCGACATCTGCACGTAAACAACTTTCATTGCTGATAAATGCAAAACAAGATAGAAAATAAACAGTTCCCGATCTTCGTATTCACACTGGCAGGGGTTCAAATCTCCTGAACTGCTCAAAAGGTTTTCACACTGTTGGCTGTTTTATGCCGCTTCACATCTCAACAACATCAAATGCATCTCAAGAAGTATTTTGCTATTGTATTTCACACCACAATCCAACTACTTCCCTGTAAGTGCTAGCTGTTCAGAACAGAAGCCTTATTGCCTTCCCCTCCAACATGACTGAGATTTGATCCCAGCACCATCTGAATCTGTCCTATTTATGATGGTGAGGGTCTTCACCCAAAGGAAATCCTAACGCAATGCTACAGAAAAGCTGGCCTTGCTCAAAATTGATTTTCGAATAGCAAAATAGTTTGGAAATTTGAAGCACCAGTTTTTGAAACTAGCAGCCAGAAACTCTCCGTCCGCCCCCCACAAACCTCCGTATCTATACCTCATTGTGGAAGAATCCAGAGGGCTCGGTAGAAAATATCAATGAAGTGGATGCGAAGGTTGATCATCTATCAGCATGCAATAAGCTAAATGGTGAGAGGATTTATACATTGCCCAGCAGCCTTCAGCGTCTGTGTGCAGTGGACCTCCGTCCGACCGGGTGTGATATCCCAGGCACTTAGACGTCCACGCACCATCGCCACCTGACCACTACCCATCATTCGCTTGCTGACACAGGCAACAAGCTGCTGCATGTCTGCTGAGCATCAGTTTAGTACAACTCCTAAAAGGTCCCGGTAACATAAATTTTAAGGAATTTATCGAAGTCAACGTTCCTGAAACCTCTTTGACTACTCGCGCTGTTGATTGAAGGGGTTGCCCTGCAGCTTGATTCAAAATAAATACCTGACATCTGTACATGACTTTGAAAGAGAAATAAACAGCCAGGTAGGCAAAAGAAACAAATGCATAAACCAAAATGGGTACAATTTGGGTCCATCTTGGCTCTGTTGCAGCGTTTGTTTTGGGTTGAATCTGGCCGTTTGGGGCCCCTAGTAATGGGAGAAGTGGGCTCAGAGCCGGTGCCGGGAGTCATGGCTGTAGCTGCCCGGTGAACTGCGATTGCGGTGTGGTTTGTATGAATCCTGATAGGGGTCCTGGTAGTCCTGGTACGGGTCCTGTTGCTCTCTGCTATGCTGCGAGCCGGACGACATGCGGTTACGTCCCTTGTGCGCCCGCTCGTTGTGGTAGTTTTCTTCTGACGTCATCAGATTGCGGCGCTCGTTCAGGGTGGAATGGTCTCCTGTGTGGTTGCTCTGTCGCATTCTTTGGCTCTGCTGATCACATGAACACAGCAGGAACAACACGACTCAGTTGGACATCAGCCTGCGTAGAAGCCTTGTTCCCCACATTCAATTTCAACCAACAAAGCCAAAACGAGCGTTGTATTTATCGCATGTCCCTTTAGAAAGTACCATCTTGGACACAGACATGCTCATGATTATAACTCAACTGCACGGGGGCATGCACTTTTGTATAAAATGTATTAGTCTGCTTCATCTTACACTGATCCTGGACAAGATTTCTTCAGACTACAATAGAAGAGATTAAAACCGAGACCCACAATATTCAGATATATTGTGTAAAAGCTTAAAGCAGATATACAATGCTCATATGCAGGTTCATAACATTGATATCAGACCACGAGATGAGTTGTGTACCTGCAGTCCAGAGATGCTGGTGGGGTAGGGGGTGAGGGTGGTGGGGCCCAGGTTGCGTCCCAACAGGGGGTTCAGGGGCGTTGCCATCGAGGTGTGGGTCGCTTTCCAGTAGGCCTCCAGGTATTCTGCCAGGTGCTCGCAGGCGTCCTCCAGCTGGTTCTCATCCAGGATGATGTCAAACATTTCCTGTGGGCAGAGGAAGGAAAAGTAAGAGGACGTACAAACAAACGAGATGCAAAGTGACAACGCTTTGAGAAAGCAAATCGTCAGCCAGTGCACGGGGATGTGGACACTTACTGGAGGACACTGGGCCAATTTGTCTGCTGCCACGAGCTGCACGTTCAGGTGTTTGCTCTGGGACTTTCCTCTGGACTTGACCAGCCTCTGCAGGACCTGGACAGCACCACACGAAAGGAACATGACTCTGGTTACAGTGGAACTATCACAGATTTGGGTGCATGTGTTTCAGGTCGCCGTGCACCCTCGTCACCACATGTGCACTGCGATGGTGGTGGAGGGATATCGAAACTCTTTGTCATAAATGAGTGACCAGACAAATAATACAACTGATGCAAACAAAAACCTGAATAGGGTGCAATCATTATTAGTGTAAAATAAATTCAATATAAATGCAATACAAAATACACAGGGTGGGAACTAACTTGACTTCACTATGGACTCAG